AAAGTGACCGTTTTCAACGTGTAAATTTAAAACGCTCTAGCGCAGCCGTTTTTGAAGAAATCGACTTCAAATTTTGCACACGTGTTCATCAACCATATTTGTTTAACATATATTTCGGTTTTGTGAAAATTTTGAAAATTTCTTATATTTTTCTCTTGAGAAAGAGGTAAAGCTTCGCTACGATCGGCCTTCCGATCGACCGAGAAGATTCGTAAAGTTAGTTCGTATCTTCACCATTTGCGATACAACTTGCGTATCTACTTAGCCTACGATGTGATGGATCCCTCCAATATCTGTTCCGATTCAACTTACGTTTGATCGCAACTGCGAGGTGCCTTGCGATCACATGGATCCCCCCAGCCTTAAAGTTAACCCAGACTGACTTGACATGCGCCGTGAGCTCCTCGAGGCTGGAACAGCGCTACGCTTCGACGAGCCTCAATTTCAGCATAAACAACAAATTTTCATGAAATTTTGATCCAATGAGGTGCCTGGCATGTGATCTTGCCAAAAACGCCTGTCATAGTCTCCTTGCACCGCTTTTAAGCTTTGCTTGACCTGTGCACTGATGCACTGTCTTGCCTGAAGCTGGGTCTACGACCTCCCGGATGCCATTTTCTCCTCTATAAATATGTTCATACTCGCGGTTTGAGTTCAGCTTGAGGGCTGAAACTCCTCCTAGATGTTCTTGGAAAAGCATTCTGCTTCCCAAAACTGTTTCTGGGTTGCCACTTGCAACTTGGTCAACTCCAGAACGCCTATAACCCCACAACACAGTGACCCTGTCCTTTTGCATAGAAACATAACGAGACGAAACGGAGGCCTCCTCCTTCGCCCTTATGGGGTTGTTTTCGGGTTTGGACGGGTGTTTCATCTCGAACGTGGACTAGTTAGTCCTGATGACCTGGTTGATGTCATCAGCCCTCTGTTTTGTTTAGCCTCAGGCATTACGAAACTCATGTTTGGCCATTTTTAGACGTTTTTGACTGTTTTGTGCCCTCCGGTAAGCAAAGCTTAAGTCACCTTGAGTTATGTACCCCGAAAGGACACTCTTAGACAGCTGGTAATCCATCCTGAAAAGTCTGCTTGCCAACTTTGTAACCCTTTGACCTTTTTGATGGCCACTTTGGCGCGACACAGTTTTGGCCACTTGGCTCACTCCTGAGGGCTGACTGGAAAAAGGATAAACTTGCAATGACTGACTCCCGACAAATCATCGGCGTCACTTGCTGACTGTGCGTTTAGTTAGCGATGGACATTGGCTACAGACTGGTAGGCCTCAATCACCCTCAATCGTCGCGAATGGTCACTTGCTGACTAAATACTGAGACGTACCCGAATCGGAGACCTCTATGTTGCTGCGTTAGCCGTCTCTGTAGGAAGCGGGCTCTATAGCAAAAACTATTTTGTCTACAGAAATTAGCTACTGTGGAGCATATTTCTACCAGCCATGGCAACCACGTAAGCTCAGTTACGAACCAATTTCAGCGTGCCTTTAAGCAAGAGAGCCTAAAAATGTAAAATTTAGGTGAGAACGAACTTATGGGACACCCTGTAGCTGAGCGGTATCGATGAGCAAGTTGGTCGAGGTCGCTGACCATCACACACCAATAGACGTGGGACTGCTTTGTTGGAATTAATTATACAACCTCTGTTAATCTTTTTTAGATAAACACCGTAAATTATTTTCCAGGCATGTGCCCATCTGTATGGTACAGGGACCCGCAGTTGCTACTGTATAGCGACCCTGAGTATATTGTCCCAGCACCCTCACAGGGAACAACGATAAGCTGTCAGAGGGTACTCACAGGAAACCTCAGCTGCTCTTGTACAGGGACCAGCAGTCGATATCAATGTTATCGGTTGTTACTGGACAGGACAGACGGTTAGACTTGGGGTTCGTGTACAGTAGCAACTGCGGGTCCCCGTACGGCTCTCGCCGTCGCGGGAAAGCGTAGGTTTTGCACTTTACATTTCCGGTTATATCTCAGAAACTAATCGATTTACGATGAAGCCATTTTACACGATCATGGCCGGCTTGTTACCCAACAAGTCGATCGCATCTTCAACACTTGAGCTTAACCCGCGCCCCGTAGGGGGGCCGAAACGGCCCCTTCCAGTCCTTTTCCGTCGATATCTCCTAAACGGCTGGAGATATCGCCACCAAACTTTCAGGACCCCTCCGGGCATCAATTTTACACATTGTGACCAAAAATTTTTCCAAAGGCAATGATAGGTTGGCCACAAATGACGTCAGAATGACGTCATGTTCTGTCATTTTCGACCGAAAAAAAGACCTTTGCGAGAAGACCTGTCAGGCCTACAGCTTTGAAGATACAGAAAAATGATCAAAACATAAAAGGTGTAGAATTGATAGGGCTACAAAACTTCTATCTCGGATTTTTGAGATTTTTTAGTTTTGACCCCCAAAAATAAAAAAAAACATTTTTTTGGATATATTAGCCAAAAAATTCAAAAGGTTTTTTGAGTTTCGAGAAAACCGGAATATATGTGATAGTACCTACCGTCTTCTATCTACATACCGAATTTCAGATCGATACCTCCTTTTTTGGCCAAGTTATAGCGAAAAAACTGTTCAAAAATGATGACGTCAAATTTTCAAACTCAATTTTTGGCAATTCTAGACCTCGTAGAGCAAAACACAGACCACCATTAGACTCCCCGTGACGAGCTGCATCGAATCGATACCCATTTTATGCAAAATATCAACTTTGAAATTTGACCTAATTTGACCTGACCTTGACCTAACCTTCACCAAATTGTGATCCAGGCTGGCCCCAAAGGCTGCCTAACCCACATAATCGCATTTGCCATGTAAAATGGACCATAAAACATGTATCACACAACACTTTCATATTGTGACCCCCGGTGACCTGACCTCGCTGTGACCTGACCTGGTATCAGTGACCTCAGATAGTAAGGTATGTGTTTGACGAACAATGTACCATCGATGGTTTTCAATAAATTACCAATTTACTCGATTTCACAACACATTTCTTGAAATGCCCGTGAACAGTGAAAATCCGACCTTTGACCTGACCTGTGACGTCATCGGTTTGACCTAGGTCAATGAAATTTGGTCACAAGGTAGTTCCCCAGTGGGGCTATCGAACACCGTTTGAATTTTGAAAATCGGCCGGTAAAATTCCGAGATCTTAGGAGGGGGCCGAAACGGCCCCTCCCCTACGGGTGGTAGGGTCCGCCGATAGCCCTACGGGGCGCGGGTTAAGACGACGAATATATAGCCTGAAGTGCACTTAAATTTTCTAGGTGCAAAACCTACCGTTAAAACCCGCGAGACCTGTACCTACAAATGAAAGGGAATGAAATGAAAGGGAACCGCGCCCTACCCCTCCCCACCCCACCCCATGCTGCCCCTCACCCGTCCGTCGAGCGGAGGGGGTTGGTCAGGGAGTGCAGACTGAGGGGACAGGGGGGGGGGGGTTCGGAGCCGCACGTGGCGACCAGCTGACTGCCGCCGGGGCCAGTCCGAGCGAGCGAGCCTGACCCTGTAAATGGAGATGGGCCCCACAGCGCGCCGGCCGTTTTTTCTATGAGGGGAGAGGAGCCAAAAGGGAGGGTGAGGGTGGGCGGGGCCGGTGATGTCGCTCGCCAGTGCAGCGCGGAGCCGTGCGCAGTACCCGTCCGATAACCGTGACGTCAGTGGAGCGGGGAGCCTGCCTACGCACCGTGTCCCGTGTGGAAACGGGCGGTGGACGGGGAGCGGGCGGGACCGCCGGCAGATGAGAGGGCCAACGCTTCCATAGACGGCAGCAGGCGCCCGACTGGCCGAGAGCCATCCTTTACAGGCAACGGTCTGCTTCCCCACCCCAGTACTGCAGAAAATGGAAGGTTCTCGTGAAACGCAACTATCGCTACGGCTCATTACATAACACCGAGCCTCGAACGAAACCGTAAGTCAGGTACTGTCATTTATAAGCATCCCTACAAATTGAAGGCGGACCGAACAGAACATGCCTATTTATTCAGTATGGAAGCTACCGGCTTTAACAAGACGTGTAAGAACAGGCCGTAACCCATTCTATCCAACACACGCTAGAGCACTGCACGGAAAGTTGGAACGCATAGATGAACTGACGTCCTAAAGTAACTGCATTAAAGTTACTGCATCGGCGGCATTTGCCGTTCTCATAAAAGGAATATGGACGTTTTCCATTTTGTTACGCCTGGCAGTTGGCGCTCACGTCATGTGCTATTGGGGGGGGGGGGGGGGTAATCAGACACTGGTATACATTCCTTTTACTTCCGGCGAAACTTTGGCTTCTCTACATAACTTGTGTGAAGTGAACTGAGCGGCAGCCGGCAACTTCTCAAACGGGCCTCCCTGCACTTCAGTAATTCCCATGGCATTACTGCCATCTTTAGAGCTCTGCCGTTACTCAGCTACCTCCCCGGTATTGTGAGTGCATCACACAGGTCACCGGGCCACGCAGGGGTCAGTAGCGCCGTGCGTGACATGGCATGGCGTGAGCACCGCTCAGTTCAGACATATCACACCAATGAATGACCCGGCGTGGCCGCCACTCGAGGTTCAGATGCCCGTCAAGTGGCCACGGATCGCGAACGACAAACAGTCCACGCGGTATGTAGAGTCGCCCCACTGTGCGGCACCAGGGCGGGACATTGTACCCAGGTATGTCACCGGTAATCCGACCACAGCCGGGTGCGCCATCCGACCGGGCACGGATACAAATAAACTCACGGAATATTCCGTAGGAAGTATCAAAAGCAGGCTGATAGTGGAGCCACGTTAGTAACTAGAGTGCTAATGTTACTGCAGCATCTGTTTCAAATATCAGTGCAGGACGTCGACAAACTCAAATACGAAGTTTGCCGGTAGTATTTGCACGCCCCCATACACGCATACGGCCGTGCCGGGTACAGTCTCTAGCATCGAACCCCGTGCGCGGAGCGGGTCAGCTGATTTCGGCCTGATAGTGTACCCACTGACCACTCACCTCATGGGATTGAACTGCAGTCCTCCAATGAGCCAGGCTGGGTCGTCCTCTAGGCTGTATCCATCGCCAATCTCTCGCAATATGCCAGTCGCCAGTTAGTTTCGTGTCACTCGCTCCTATCCTGAGGCTCACAGCACTACTATGCCAAAAGCTAACAGACGGCCCGTGCAGCAGACGATCAGTAGTTCATCGTGCGGCCGCGGGCGGCGCTAGTGTCGCCGGGTTCCACTCGGCTGCCGAGCGGGCGGGCGGAGCCAAGACAGCAGCATCCCCCGCCACGGGCGGAAGAGTCCGCCTAGCGGGACGGACCCTACTCTGGGAGGAGCCTTCCCCGCCCCTCCCAGTCTCCACCTCCGTGGGTTCGTCCACTGGGCGAACTTCTCAGGCAGGCTCCCTGAAGTCTAAACCTATTTAGACGCCAGGCGTCTCGAGCGTTGTCCAAACAAATTCGAGCTAAATACTGCCAGCATCGGACCCCCAGAGTCAGCTACGTCGGTGCATTAGTAGGGGAAGCCGGGGGAAGCCCGGGCGCGGGGGAAGCCCGGCAACCCCGTTTCCGGCTAAATTATTCACAATAAAATGCTCAACTGTTTGTCCTTTCAGCGTGGCAGCTAAGGTAACGCCAGCAAAAAAGTTAAGGCTAACAAAAATTGCATATTGTTAAAGTTATAGCGCAAAAACGATATTTTAAGGGTTTTTAGCAAAAAAGTGAGATTTGCCGCACTGTTAATGTTATACCATACAGTACTAATATTTATACGAATGTTAGGTAAGGACCGTTTAAGTGTTTGTAGTGAGGGGTGACGAGGCAGGCTGGCTTAAGTATGACATTTTTTCGAATATCGCTGTTCTAAAATAAAAATTAGCACATTGGGGTAACCCCGGACGAGTGGCCAAGCTTACCCCCAACCGAGAGCAATGCCACTAAACCACTGTTTTCCATGAGATAATAGGTACTGAGCAGGATTGGTTTACACCTAGATCAAAGATAAATTTCGAAAATAAACATGTTATCATAGACAAAGCCAGTCATGTCACTTAAGGTCAACTAGGGTCAAACTACGTTTTTGCAGATAACGCGACAGGCAATGAAGCTAGAGCTTCAAAAATGGTGTCGTTGTGTTCTTCTTCATCAGCCGAGTCGAATGATATGCAATATGATGCATGAAGGTAAAAAGAAAAATAAATTTTAAGGAATTTTGAAATACACATTTTTTGTGAATTTTGCATCACGATTTTCATCGACCTGTACTGTGTATGTGGTAGACGTTAGCTAAAATACCAGTAGTGACATAAACTCTAAGATGTCCAGAGCTGCTAATCAGTATCTTAATATTTCACTTTCCGTTAATATTTGGAAGACACATAATGGTTTCATCAACTCGTTGTAAAGCGCTGGGGAGGTGGCCGGCGTTACCCCTATGCCGGGCTTACCCCAGAAAAATCAACACTTTTTTAAAACTCGATTTTCTCAACCTTATACTTATTCCACGAAACCGAATTTTTGGGAAAACACGGCCAATGAACTTAGCTAGCTAACAGGATATCAACATTTTATACAGCACGTATGGTATGTAATAAAAATGAAAAAGAGCTTACTATGCCGGGCTTCCCCCGGCTTCCCCTAAGTACATCTGTTAAGGATTTTCTTTTCGATAGTCCTGGTTCCACACTAAACCGATACACTGTCATCGACCCGTCTGTTGGGCACGGCACGACGGGACCGGCCGGTAGGAGGGATGTCCTACTGCAGCTGCTTGGAAGTGACTGCGTCAGGCAGCCCTTCGGCTCGAACACTGATGGCGAAAGCAGTCAACTGCACACTGCGAAAGGTAAACTCATCAGCGGCGCCTGCGAACTGATCGCCTCGGGAGAAAGCCCCCTTTCTCCGTTTTCTCCAGCTAGTATAACTCATGAATGACTGGCTCAGATGTCAGATATGATTGCTCCGCCCTGCCCCTTCCTCGTCCCAAACAGACACACATGCAGTAGCGGCGGAACACCTTCAATTAAGGGGGGGGGGCACTGCCGACTTTTGGTCCCATTCTTTTCATGCAACGCCCATAGCGATGTTAAAATGCCAAAATCTAAGGGGGCACGGTGCCCCGGTGTCCTTCCCTTTTCGCCGCCTATGCACACATGCACTCGAAATTGATTGCACAATGATGGTGAACATAGGGGAGAGTGGGGTAAGATGCCCAGGGTGGGAAAGACGCCCCACCCCCTCTAGCGGCGAAACAAAGAATTGAACCCGGAAATTAATGTTCTTAGCGTAAAGCGGAAGCCAGCCTTGTTAATTGCACAAAAAATTGCAAAGCTCAGTTGGGCAACGGCTGGCTGGTGAATGCATGTTTTTTATTTGCTGCTTTCGAAAAATATTTTGGTGTCAAAACATTTTAAATATCAAAGAAGGTAGATAATTTTTGCGTCCCTTGCTATAGTTGTGATACATTAATATGCGTGTACTGTGTCCCAAACAGTTTGTTTCAGGGTGCAGTTTTATGGCTAACATATTGTACTGATTTAATGTTACTTCGGTACCTTGGGGTAAGATGCCCCCTGTCCTGATGGGGAAAGACGCCCCCCTAAATCCGTAGGCTGTCATTCAAGCAGCACGTCAAATCATTTATTAGGTACATGCTTGTGATGAGAGACAAAAGTCGGTCTGGGACTATTGAGAGTCCAGTACGATCGGGTGCTCCCCATGCCGGTCTCTCGGCCCACACAGCGACTTTTTGGGCGGCATCTGACTCTGAGAGCCCTCACGACGGCCTCGGTGGGCCCCATTATTGGTTCCAGGGCCCCTCACGATATCCTTTGAGGGTTCCCACGTTGGCTCCACGGGCCGCGCTGGCATCTGAGGTCCCCACGATGGGCTCGCGGGCCCTCAAGCATCATGAAGACCTATAAGGGCCCCACAGTGGTCTCCGAACGCCACCACGGAAGCTTGTTTAGCCGCGCTGGACTATGATGACCCTAACCATGACCTCTGAAGCCCCTTACGACCACTTTTGAGGGCCCTTACGATGTTTGGTGTCTACTGCAGGCTCGAAGGGACTACTGATTCGTTCAGGCGATTCACGTGCCCATTTATGTCACTTATAGTGCAGGGGGCATCTTCCCCAACGCCAGGGGGCGTCTTTCCCACCCTGTGGGGTAAGATGCCCCCTTTGACTTCTTCAGGAAAATGCTTAATAGCAAAAAAAAGTTATCATATTTCAGGCACGAAAGTGTGATATTTTTGAAGAAAAATGATGTCGGCTTCCGTTGAAACTCCAAGTTTTTGCTTTCCGATCGTCATTTTCGAATAATATATGACATAGTAAAACCCTGGGCATCTTTCCCCACTCTCCCCTACAAAACACAAGCACCTTTGAACCGACCAAATCATGGAGGCATTATGCAAGGCCCGGTAAAGCCATAATTCAAGACTCGGTATGGGTACCGTGCTGTAGAAACAGAAGCCGTCGCCCGGCCCAGTGCTCGCAGCGGTTGCCATGGTGACCTGTAAACGTATACGATTGATTGCACTGTCTCTTGGTGACGTCACAGAGTGTCGTTGACGGGCGGCGTGTGCTCAACTGATAACACGCGTCTGGGCAGGGCGACCCGGCGAACGGGGCACGGCGCCGACCGTAAGGAACTGGGTCCAGGCGCACTGGACTCTGCGGAGTTTGAACCGAGCTGACTGCTGAACCGAACTGTCCGAAACAACCTGGACCCGCCGGTCAGCGGCATGTTTTTGGTGATGTTGGTTAAAAGGGCAAAGAATAAGCTGATACGTAGTTCGTAAATACCTTCATAGCCATATGTATTTATTGGCTATCCACAATTTTCAGGTTTCCTGATTAATCAATATTCATGATATAGACGACAATTGTTATGTTGTCAGGCAACGAATAACTTCACATCAAGAACAACCCAACTATCGAGTGAATGGACAGCATCGTTTCACCGAACCTCAATTTCGTTCTCTACATCTTTACTCTGTATGCATCTTTTCGTCCTTTACTCTGTATGCATCTTTTGGGGCAGTAATATTCACAGTCACCTCTTGCAGCAGCGGGTCATCGACAGAGCGGGATTGGCCACGGCTGACCAGTCTATGTCTTGTGCTCGCTGATCAGGCCGCGGCCTGAGCAGCGAGCACAAGACATAGACTGGTCAGCCGCGGATGGCCGACGGCTTCTGCGCACAGTGGATTAATTTTGTGTGCAGGTGGAACGCCAAGCGCACTTTTTTCGGACAAACGTCATCTCGTCAGCTCACTTGCTCTGTCAGAGTCTGCACGGAGCCAAACATACCCACAACACCGTAGGCGCGGGAGCCCGGGGGCAGTGGGGGCATCTTGCCCCCTCCCCCAACTCTGAGGCCGTGGGGGCGGTGCCCCCACAGCTTTTTAAGACGAAGTATCGCACTTTTTTGCAATTGTTTTCGTTTTTGTTGAAAAAACCAAGGGATGAAAAATAAGTAGCCTAAAACCGGTGAGAACACTAGATTTGGGGGTACCCTAGATTGATCTCTATTCTCTATTATGGTGTGCCCCCCAGTCTGAAAGTAGTTCCCGCACCCCTGCACAGCACAATACACATTTTGGCAATGGACTATGGAGCGCTTGAGATTTGAAAAGATCATATAAAGGAAATTATTCGAAATATTTCCAAGCAAATCATGTTTCTTGATGTGCGACATTCAGCTGAAAGCCTTAACCCTCGCCGGACCTATTGGTTTTCTACATACGCGCCGGCCGGGGGAGGGGGTACGACCCCCTCGCCGTTTCGCCCCTGGTGGAGCTAGCGCGTCGCGAAAAAAAAAAAACGAGCGTGTGCGCCGTTACGAGACGCAGAGATTAATACCCGATATTAAGGTCCTAGGTCAACCGGTGACCTCTGAGGTCAGGTCAAGTGCCCCAAGGTAGGGTTCCGTTCTTGGTGGATAACTTCGCAAAAAACGGCCGCAGGGTCGCAATTTTGGCAGCATCGTGTTCGCCTCGCTCAGGCGCGTTGAAATTGGTTTGTCGAAATTTCGACGAAATTGGTCGAAAGAGGTTATGTCGCATATCATTCGATTCGGCCGGCGGTCTTCCTGAGTCAATTGGTGGCCTTCCCGACTCGCTAGCTCAATTTGATCGGGAGT